AGGATCATAGGTTACCGGGACATGCACGGTTGAAGCATGGAATACCCCGTCCGGTATGGTTAATAAAACATGAAAATGTAGCTTTCGATAAGGATAAGGTAAAATTGTATTTCACCATTAGAACAAAACAGAAAAAGCTGAGAGGCTATTAACTCGATTGTGATTAACAAATAAGGCATAAAAGCTTCTACTACTCGGCCATCTAAATACCACGATACTTTCATTTAGACAAAATTTCAGCAAATGTGGCTGCATTTAATGACCAAACCCAGACAACGTATTATAGGATCTTCTCGGTAGAGGCAACTTCTGTAACGTATATAAAGGAGTCTATACAAGACACGATGAGAAAATTATTGTGGCTGTAAAGGTATGGGAAAACTGAAATGACATAACCTTAACTGCGTTATTACGATGATTGGCTAAAAACCATAGGTTTGTCACGAAGGAAGCGTTTCAAAAGGATTTCAAGAGTCAAAAGAGGCGCGTAATTCAATGCTTAGTGAAGCGCAAATGATGAGCTACTATGTCCATAATCACGTTATCGAGGTAGGTTACATAACTTTAAGAGTTGTTGAAGTACATTTCACTCCGTTTGTCAACCGCAGATGTTTGGTGTTGCCTGTGACCATCCGCCTATATTGATAGTCATGGAATACTGTCCAGGTGGAGATTTACAATCGCATCTAAAACGTCAAAAAGAAAAAATTGATATTGGAGAGAGAATTGTTTACGATTTAGAAGTAAGTGATTCTAACTGCAGCAAAGTCATTGAAATCAAAGAACAGCATAACTTTCAATAAAATCTAGGCTGCTCGTGGAATGCGCTATCTTCATAAGAAAAATTGTATACATCGAGATTTAGCAGCTAGAAATTGCTTAATATCAGCAAAAGGTATGGTATTTACTTCGAAGAATTGAGGGAATGCGTCACTCAAGTGACCATAAAAAGCTTAAGCTTGAAGTTCTTTCAGGACAAATAAAAATATCTGATTTTGGCCTTTCAAAAATTGTTAATGACCTAGAAAAGGCAGACGCTGAAACTGTAACTGATGAACCTAGCCCTCAAATACCTCTTAGGTGACTTTAAAATGTCACGTTGTAAGATTAAAAATTAAACTTTATTTAGCAAATTCTTGTCCTTAAAGTAATAGTTTAGATGGATGGCTCCCGAATCTCTTCGTCGACCTATGAAATTTAGTACGAAAACGGATGTGTGGTCCTTTGGAATTATGACTTATGAGGTTTGTTAGAGAAGTGGTAAAGATGATGGGTGGTAAAAATGTAGTGTAGATATTCAACTGTGGAGTGAAACCATGGCCTGACGAACCAGCAAAGAAGATCGCCACGATGATACGAAAATGTAGCATGCCAGAGATGCCAGATCGTACTCCAGAGGATATAAAGAGTATGGTGTCCAAAATTTGGTGGGCGTCAGTCCTTTTTCCTCAGGG